GAGCTGGAGTTTCATTCTTCTGCAGGCTGGAGTGCAGTGGTGCGATCTCCACTCACTACTGCCTCCGTCTCCTGGGTTTAAGTGATTCTCCTGCATCAGCCTCCCAAGTAGCTGGAATTACAGGCATGCGCCACCATGCCTGGCTAATTTTGAATTTTTAGTAGAGATGGGGTTTCTCCATTTTGGCCAGGCTGGTCTTGAACTTCTGACCTCAGGGATCCACCCGCCTCGGCCTCCTAAAGTCTTGGAATTGCAGGCGTGAGGCACCGCACCTGGCCTGTCACTGCTTTCTGAATGCTACTCAACCTCAGTTGATAGGTAGTTGTATAATTTGACAATTCAGGCTTTCTGTTCTTACCTTCTATCTAGCCATTAATATCTTGCATGATACACTGTACCCCAATATAACCGTACCAGACTCATTCTGACTTTATTATACTCTGCCCTTGTACTTCAGGGGAAAGGGTTTATTGCTTTCCATTACCTTGAAAGACTTCACTGGGCTATTGTCAATTACCAAGTTCAATAGCTTCTGTTTAGGACTCTCATAAAATAAGACTTGGCAATTTTATAATAAAAAACAACCTTGAAATTCTTTTGTAATTATAAAGATGGTATAAAAAAAGCCTGATTGTAAAATTTATTTTGGTATAGATACTATGTGTATATATACACATATTTATATGTGTAATATATGAGAAAAAAAGTTTGAAAAAATTATTTCTTTTCCGGCGTGACTTTTTCCCTCTAATTCCCATTTTAAACTATTCTCTTTGTGAAAAAGAAATAATGCTAATATGTTGAACAGCCAGCTTGGCAATAATCTTAGAGAAAGAAATACTGCTAATGCCTTGCGTTTCTGAAGTATTTTATACTTTCTATGCAATTTTTTATGTAATGATCTGATTGTTGTATGCAAATGATCATAAAATCATACTGTGGCACTGTGATTGTCATGGTGTTAGAAAGCAGGGCGATGGGTTCTTGAGAGGAAATCATGGTTCAGATATTATAAAAATGGCGCAATTTCTTTTCATCTATACAATATTTGGGTTAATGTGGTGGGGGGGCAATATTGAATTATATTTGAATATAAATTGCATCCTTTCCAGGGATGAACATTCAAGACAGGACAATTAATACAAAGAAATGACAATTTACAGTGCAAAATTCAGTGGTGTTTATTCAACTCAAACAACTGTACCATATTTCATTTCTGAGACATTTATTTATTATTATTATTATTTTTTGAGACAGAGTCTTGCTCTGTTGCCCAGGCTGGAGTGTAGTGGCATGATCTTGGCTCACTGCAACCTCCACCTCCAAGCTTCAAGAGATTCTCCTGCCTCAGCCTCCAGAGTAGCTGTGATTACGGGTGTGCACCACCACGCCTGGCTAATTTTTTAATATTTTTAATAGAGATGAGATTTCACTATGTTGCCCAGGTTGGTCTTGAACTCCTGACCTCAGATGATCCACCTGCCTCAGCCTTCCAAAGTGCTGGGATTACATGCATGAGCCACTGTGCCTGGCCCATTTCTGAGACATTTAAATGGAACTGTCTTATGTATTTTACCTAGTAATATTTTACCTACAAAAGATATTTATATGATATTATTCAAGATATTTCAGAAGGATGCAGCTATGTAGAATGATTAATTCATTCAATAAATATTTAAGAAATTTAGCGTTAACCCATACGTCAGGTGCCGCATAATAGTTGTGTTGATTTTTCAGATATGGAAGCTACATAGAAGGGACAGGGTCTGTGTTACAGACTGCAGAGGATGTGCAGGTACTATGCATATTTTAAAACTAAAACACTTTAAAACTTTTAACTAAAATTGTTTAATACTTACTTTGAGAACATTAAAATAATTATATGCATTCAACTGGCCATGAATATATATTTTATTCATTCAAATATATAATACTTGATTACTATTGAATAAATATTTTCCTTGTTGCTGTACATGAGTATATGAACAAGGAATGTTTTGTTTTTCTTTTTCTTATTTTTATCTTCTGCTTTTCTTTTATTCCATAAATAGTCAGTTGAAATTCAGCCTACAATAGTTAATGTTCCTAAAATGTTATATAAACATCTTAATATTGGAGCCCCCTTTTGAAGCACACACTATAAAACTTCCTTTTAAGGAAAAGAAAATCTTAGCAATGTGCTTTATGAATACTTCTGTTGTTAACTCTTCATGGTGTCATGGTTGAATACAGGCCTAACATGTAGCAAGTTTTATATTTTTTTGAATAATTTTAAAGTGAGATTACATTATCTTCTTTTATACTAATTCAAACTTTTAACTACTAATAAAATTTACCCATGGTAAAAATTCTGTTATAGACAAATGAATGTCTGGATTTGAGAAATTATATTTGCTTAATATAATCATTTTAAGGAAGTATCTTGATGAAATTGAGTATAAAAAATAAAAGTTCGAATGATTCTCCTGTTTTTATTATAAAATCTACTTGGTTGTTTTGTCAAGCTTCTTTTGCATTTTTCACTATATTTCTTTTATATTGTCATTTATTATTTATACTCTTATGATTTTATTTTAAGGGCTTAAAAATGACAGATACCCTGAAAAATATCCTGATCTTTTGAATGTTAACCTTTTTCTTTTTAAAGTTTATGTTGCCATTACTGAGCCAATATATAGTCTATTGCACAGAGCCATTTTGCCCTGTGCACTTTGCCACTGTGTGTTACAGCAGACTGTATGTCCATCGAGTTTAAACTGTCTCACAACAGGAGATCTTACATCTAGTTACATGTTACTTTTTTAGTTGTCTTGGATGCTTTCTTACAGATTGAGAATATCTACAAATCCCTTGCCAATTTGTCTCAGGAAGAAAAGATAACAAAGCTGTTAATGCTTAAACTGCGATATTTTACTCCTAAAGAAATAGCAAATCTCCTTGGATTTCCTCCAGAGTTCGGTATGTGAGATACATGTAGACTTCAACTTTCATGTATTAAAGCTCCTAAAAATCTTTAGGGACTTGTGTGTCTAGGAGTTGCCTAAAGAAATGGGTGCAATAAACCTCCTTCCTTTCCTGATCATGCCATTTTTGGCATCTTCCTGCCCTTTGTCCCCTTACAACTGCCTCATTCCGTTCTCTCCTGACTCATTCTACCTCTCGCTAACTTTACTAGTGGGCCACAGAGGTTGGCCTGGCTAGAAGGTTCACACTGGCAATTTCTCACCTCTTTCCACAGATGTCTGTGCATAGCATTCTCTTTCTGGCTTATATTCTTTCTTCCAGAGGTCCTTTCCTAGTCACCCCACACTAGAGCTTGTGAAAGTATGCTTTTGATTGCCTTTTAAAAAATATATGTAAATTAAAAGGCAGTTGAGGGATTATTTTGGAAGGGTTGGGAGTGTATTGATATTTATTCTCCTCAGAGATACAGCTGTGTCAGCCATGTGCCCTTATCCCTCCCTACAAGGAGTAGGTGGAGAAAGAGAAGATGGAGAGGCTGTCTCTAGGAAGGAGCTTTCCTAATGGAATGAAAGGGGAACTCAGGAGATGAAATTGATTCAGAAAATTAATTGACACAGAATTGATGAAGAACAGATGGGAAGATACAGTTGTAGAGTGAGAAAGTCAAAAGCCTAACTCTATTAGCAGTCCAGGAAGTCCAGGGATTGGTGCCCTAAAGAGATTGAACACACTGCTTTGGCCTCTCAGAGATGCCCCAGCCCATCTCCCTGATCCCACTGCCAGGGCCAGTGCTCACAGCTCTAAGGAGGCTGTGGGTTCCTTAGGCCTGGGGTGGAAATGCTCCCAGTACCTGGCTGATGGGCTGGGAGAAAGACTGACCTCCCTAGTGTGCTTCCATGGCCAGAGAAGGAGGAAATGTGCTGTTGAGGACTGATTGAGAGTTCGAATGCAGAAAAGCCAAACTTTGTTAAATCCAGTACTTTTGTAATATTAATATGGCAGTATTCTTCAAATAATGAGCTTAATAGATCATGTTTCAAATTCTAAATAATTGATTTAAGCTGAGGTTTTGGAACACAACCCTTTTGTACATAGAGAACAAACTGCCAATATAATTTGACTACCCTCTTGGTAATTGATTCTCTGAGCGTAGTCGTGGCAACCAGGTTTGTTTTCTACTCCCTGCCTCTTTCTTGGTGATCTCAATTTTGTCCCAAATATCCTAGTGAGTGCTGTTTAAGAAAAACACAAACTTTCCTTGTCTTAGCTTATGTCACAAAATGAGTGAGAGCATTACAAAACAAAGAGCTGAGAATCAGACTCAAGAATTCTCATTCCTAGTCTACTTTCCTGGCTACTATTTTTTTTTTTCTTTTTTCAGATGAGTAATCAGACATACTATTGAAGAGAGAAAAGAGATTATTAATTAAAACTAATTCCCCAGCTTTATTCCAGTGCTTTTTGTTTTCAAAGAGTAGTAGTCACTTTGGTGATACTGAACCTTAGTAAGGAGCACAGAGCCTAGAGTCAGACAGTGACTTCAAATCCCAGCCCACCTTAACTGTTCCCTTCTTTAATCTACTTGTCTGTAAAATGAGGATAATTATAAGACCTACTTCATAGGGTTATTGTGATAGTTAAATAACTTAATATATTTGAAATTCTTATACCTGAACATTTCATTTTTAGGATGAGCCATTTATTTACTTTTATAATCTTTATTTCATAAATATTTTTCTCATTATTTTTACGTTTTAAGTGGGTAAAATAGAATTTTCCAAAGCTCTCTGATTATATATGTATAATACATAGAAAACAGCCTTTGAAATTACTGAACCTCCTTTTAAAATATGTGGTATGTTTGTGGAGTTGAGCTTACCCTGATGTCACCACTGAGCAGCACCGTGATACAACTGCCCCTCGTGTGTTTCCAACATTATTGACTCTGGGTTCAAAAATGGGCATTGTTTGAGCTCTTTGTCTGCTGGCAATGATGGATTTGCATTGATCCTTCCAAATACTTTGTCCTGGTTCTGTGGCTGGTGGTGTGCATTCTGTGGTAATAGTGGGCTTTTGAAGAAAAACACTAACCTGCCCTCACTAGGCATAAGCTGATACCTTGACCTTGTTCGTTCTATGTTTCTTTGTTCTTAAGGATAATTCTTATTATTTTTAATGTATCTAACTTTTTAAAACGTTGTCTTTTAACTTAGAAAATTATCGTTTTTTTCCATAAGTTGTTAGGTTGGTACAAAAGTAATTTGCCATTACTTTCAGTGGCAGAAACCACAGTTACTTTTGTGCCAACCTAACAGTTTAGATTTAAAGAAATATGCACAGATGCACACACACACATACACATATAGATATAATTTGTACAAATATTACTTGTTTGTTTTCAGATGTTTCTTTCCTTCTGATATAATTGTAATATTGTAAAAGATTGTCTCTGGGATAGTCAAAAAGCCCATTTTTAGGCACATTTGTACCTCCGGTTGCTTTGAAGTAAATACTTTTAGATAAATAATGTCCTTGCCTAAAGTATTATCTTTAGAATAGAAACTTTATGATCATATGTAATTGCAACAGTAATTGCAGTAATTCCTGTTGTTTTATTGCAGTTAATAAAATGTCAAGCATCTGATGAAGCAACTTTGCTGTAACTAATTCTACCTTCCTGTCCTCATGAGTATATGAAATTTTGCTATTCTTAATACTTCTAATTATTTTTTTCATTTTCTTATCTAAGTTATTTTTCCTTTATTTCCTTGCTAGGCTAGAGTATGCTGAATGTGAAATCCTGACATTTTAACTACCATTATAGTGCATACTCTTTTACATGGACAATCTTTTATGCTGATATTCGCAAGGTCTTCTTTCAGCATATGAGGTATCCATGGCCCTTTTTGTTTTAAAAAAGGAATGTAGCAAATGAAAGTCCAGTATGACAAAGGCAGTTTGTGGAAGCAGAGTATAAAAACTACTATGGGGGACTTGTATCCAGAATATGGATATCAATAATAGTATTGATGAAGATGTGGAGCTATTGGAACCCTCATACAGTACTGGGTGGGAATGTAAAATGGTGCAGCTGCTTTGAAAAACAGTCTAACGGTTCCTCAAACATTAAACATGGAGTTAGTGTGTGATCCAGCAGTTTCACTCTAGGTATATACCCAAGAGAATTGAAAATATATGTCTACACAAAAACATACATGAATGTTCATAACAGCATTATTCTCAACAGCCAAAAAGTAGAAACAACCCAAATGTCTGAATGAATGAATGGAAAAATAAAATGTGGTAAACCATGCAATAGAATATGATTCACCCACAGCAAGGAATGAAGTATCATTACATGCTATGACATGAATGAATCTTTAAAACATGTTCAGTGAAAGAAGACACAAAAAACAACATATTTTATGGCTCCATTTATGTGAAAAATAATCCAGTAGACACCCATAGAAACAGAAAGTAGATTAATGGTTGGGAACAGGGAGGCAATAGGGAGTGACTGCTAATAGGTGCTAAATTTTTTTTGAAATAATAAAAATATTCTGGAATTAGATAGTGGAGATGTTTGAAAAACTCTGTGACTATGCTAAAAACCTCCTAATTGTACACTTTAAATCGGTGATTTTTATGCTATGCAAATTATATCCCTAAAATGATTATTAAATCAAAGAAAGAACTGTGAAATAATGGCAGACACAGCTTTCTAAAAAGTGCACTAATACGTGGATTTCTCTGAGTTCTGTGGATATATGTGTACCTGTGTGTGCACGGAACATAACACATAATGTGATATGCTACTATCATACTGTGTAGACAATATCATGTTATATAATATTTTTGGCTCCAAATTCTCTTTTGTTAATAAAACTTCCTGGAGACCTTAGTGATTTATTTATGAAATGACCACTGTACCCTTACTAAAGGATACATCCTTTCATCTCTGGAAATTGTGATTACAAATGATTTCTATAAATTGTTATTTGTCTTTTCCAGGATTTCCTGAGAAGATAACAGTGAAACAGCGTTATCGCCTACTTGGAAATAGCCTCAACGTGCATGTAGTAGCTAAACTAATCAAAATCTTATATGAAAAATTTTGAAGTAACTCTGAAAGGTGACCGTATAATATTCCTTCATTTTCAGAGAACAATTCTGAAATTCTGTTTTGAACTAATTCTGGTGAAATGTAACTAAATTATTTTAATCTGTCTTTAATATGAAATTTGGATTTTATTTAAAAAATCCATATGGTTTTCAAATTTATATTACTGTATTTTATAAAATACAAATTATTGTTATGCTTTATGGAGAGTATATTTTCATATGAAATGTAAATATGTATGTGGAATATTCTTTTTTAAAATTATGCTATAAACAAAGAGCACCTAGAATTTTAGTGTCTACATTAATATCTTGTGAAGTGTCATAACAGGCATAACATATTTTTATGTTAATTTAAAAAGGTTTTTATTTCTAATTTTAAAATCATTCTAGTTCTAGCCTATTGAATGTTTTACTTAATTTCCAATCCTTTAAACTTTTCTTTATTTCATCTAAACAAATGCATATGATATGTAAACCAAATTATCATTATTCAATTTATACAGCAGTCTGAAGAATATGTCAGGAAAAATAATCTTCAATTTTTGATTACCTCTCCATCAAGCAGTCACAGAAAATGTTGGTGCACATCATCTACATTTTCCTCAGCCTCTATCTGAAGGACAAAACCCATTGTTCCTTCTTCATTTTGTATGTACTTTCCTTTAGTTTGCTATTATCAAAGCTTGTTTTTGTCTTCCTAGCTTCTGAGTTTACTTTTGCCATTACACACTGAGGAATGTAGCATGGTTAAGATTTCCGGGAGGAAGCTGCCCTCTGACCCCATGCCATATGACATCCCCTTCCCCCAATTGTGTTTTACTGTGGTGACATACACTCCGAATTAACTTTTAGGACTTTTAACTTTCTCTGTCTCTCATCCTCAGTAGGTTTCTTGGAATTAGGGTTTCTAATCAAACTAAGTCTTGCATCATAAATTCTATGGTTTATAATAGAAGCAAGTGACAGAGATGAAAAGAAACAAGTCCAAAGATCTTACTACAGGATTTTTATTCAAATATGCATTCTTAAAAATCAACTGTTTTGACATGGAGAAATTGAAAGTTTGTGCATTCCTTGTGGGAACATAAAAGTGGTGCAGCTGCTGTTGGAAAACAGTACGGTGGTTCTTCGCAAAATTCAACATAGAATGACCCTGTGATTCAGCATTTCCACCTCTGGCTAGAGACCCAAATGAATTGAAAGCAGAGACTTGAACAGATATTTGTACACCAATGTTTATAACACCATTGTTCACAGTAACCTAAAGATAGAAGCAGCCCAAGTGTCATCCCATTCACCCATGACTGGATAAACGAAATGTGTTAACGTGCGTGCAGTGGAATAGTACCACCTGCAACAGGAAGGAAATTCTGACATATGCTGTGACACGGACGAGCCTTAAGTGCATTATGCGAAATGAAATAAGCCACTCTGCAGGGAGGGAGAATGGGTAATTAGTGCTTTATGGGTACACAGTTTCTGTTTGGGATGATGAGAAAGTTCTGGAGGTGATGGGGAGGATGATTGCACAACAGTGTGAATGTACTTAATGCCGCTGCAACTGTACATTTAAAAATAGTTTAAGTGATAAATTTAACATTAAGTATATTTTTACTGCAATTGAAAACATATTCGATTACCAATTTTTCAGAACTCATAGATAAATATGAATATAGGGAAGCTGTAAAGCAGCCCTGTACAGAAACTATCACTATCTACATTTTTCATAGGTATTCAAAGACAGAGCCTATTACAAGTCTCATAAATTTCAGTAAGCAATCAAATTATTTTGGCACGCTTTCATGTAGGTTCTCTTCACTGCTGAAAGATTCTAAATAAAATGGTTTAGCGTTTTACTGCGACTGTACTAATAACTATGCTATAGTTATAGTATCCTACACTCTGTTGAGCAATGTTATACAAAATAAGTGTGGTTACTGAGCACCAACTGTGAACACTTGAAAGGTCTGTAGAGACATTGCTTACAAACTGGAAGACAGAATGTAGTTTGTGGAATTTTTAAATTATGGAAATGCATTCACAGGAAGACAGTGATTCTTGCCCTTAATTCATAATTGAAAATATACAGTAACAAGCATAAAAAAATCACATCTTAATGAAGATGTATCTACCAGTGTCATTTAATTAGCAGATGTATAGGTATGCATAATTAATTTGGAAAATGCTCTTTTATGGAATGTCTGCTTTATGTTTTTGGTAATAATGCTGTATAAAATTTGTACTGGAAATTCTGTTTCATGATATTTAGGCTTGTATGTTTATTCAGATGTTGGAAAACATAGCTTCTCATTTTCAAGAGAACTATGTGTAATTCAGTCTTCCCATACCTAACAGTAACCTGATTTTTCATTCTCCTTTTCCCATCACCTCTGCTCTTTTAAATGGCTTGTGAGGTAATTCTAAGGTATTTATTACCCTGCCTCATATTTTTAATATGTCTTCAGGATCCAAAACTAATTCTAAAAGATGATCAAATCAATTAATGTAAACAAAATGAGTCATAACTGGAAAATTATTTTGAAGACATGGGTAGTCATTGCAGGAGGGATCAGGGCCTGAAAATCCTCAGTGGCAGAGATGAAAGAGGAATGAGAGCATCACCTTCACAGAGGACCCTGGACAAGGTGTTGTGGCCGTTCAGTCAGACCTGCACTATGGGCATTTCCCTGTGCCTGGGAAGGTAAGAAAGTACCTCCAACCTTCAGCTAGCTTGTTCTTCCTCAAAAAGTAGACCCTTCTGAAGAGACAAAACCAGTAGTTGAAATTGTGAACAGTGAGGGTCCACCCCACACTTTTTTTTTTTAGAAATTTGAGGGCAAATTGTTGCTTGAAATGATCCAACTTTTCAAAGAAGTAAAGTTGTTTAGCATAGAGGCTTTTAAGTTGCCCTGAAAGGCTGCATTGCTAGCATGTGGGATGTAAGGTTGGATGGGGTTAGAGGTGAGTGCAGGCAATTCAGTGCATTGGTTGTGGAATTCCTCAGCAGAAACCACCATCTGGCTTTTGCTCCCATCTCAACCTAGTTCAGGTCTAGAAGGATTAAGCTGGAGATTTCTGAGGAGAGAGAAATGAACTAAAGATAAATAAAACTGGTTTAATTTTAGCTATAGCAGAACAGAACAAAGCAACCTTCATTCACATCAAGCAACTACTAAACAATGCATTCTTCAAGCCAATTGTATCTGCATCCAAACTAGTCACTTTGGTTGCTCTTCTGCTTTGATAACTTAAGAGTTTAGAAAAAAAGAAGTTTCTAAATAGCCAAGATAACACGATAAGGACCAAATTTTAAGCCCACATAGACAAAGAGGTTAAAGTGAGTTTTCTGCGTTGCTTATGTTGTGAACAGAAGGTTACCTTGTCATAATTTGGCCTTCAGCTTGGAGTTCTGTTTTAGGCCATCACTTATGACACTGACTTACTAATAGCTTTGGACTTTGAAATTCAGTGAGGGTCATATAGCCTCAGCAATTTTTTTCGTAGCCTGTGATTGCATTGAGATTATATAATTTTTAAAGACATGGCCTTTGGACCTCTGTACTAATCTCTTCCACTCATCTACCATTCAAATGTGCTATGTACAAGTATCATATCAACTTCTTAGCAAGCACTTTTCTGGTAGCCGTCATATCCACCAAGATGTCTAGTTATGCCTTTCCCTTAGCATTTTTTTTTTTTTTTTTGAGACGGAGTCCTATTCTGTTGCCCAGGCTGGAGTGCCGAGGCATGATCTCAGCTCACTGCACCCTCCCGCTTCCATTCAAGTGGTTTTCCGGCCTCAGTCTCCCTAGTAGCTGGGATTACAGGCATGTGCCACCATGCTTAGCTAATAATAATTTTTGTATTAGTAGAGACGGGATTTCACCATGTTGGCCAGACTGGTCTCAAACACCGGACCTCAAGTTGATCCACCCACCTTGGCCTCCCAAAGTGCTGGGTATTACAGTTGTGAGCCACCACACCCAGCCTCCCTCTGCATATTTTTAAAAAGGCATTAAGCATTCTTGCACATGTTCTTTAGTTTCAGTTTGCATGAGTCAAGCTGTCTGCGTCATTTTCCCTTTCATATTCTTTGTCTTTGCTGCTAAAATTTTAAAGCTTCAGTGTAAACAACAACAACAAAAAACGGCTTTCGCTGTCTAGGAACATTTTAAGGTACTCAGGCTGTTCAAAATCTTACACAATCAAGATCCAAATTCCATCACCATTCTTGTCTAGTTTGTGAATTCATTTCTTTTTAAATATATTTGTTCAAGAAATATGAGCATGTACAAAAAGCTGTTTTGGCTTTGTATTCCCCAAGTTCTCATGTAAATTGGTTTTATATTTACCATAGATTCTGAGTCTTACTTTCAACCACATGCAGCACTTACTGAAGTCTCCCTCAAGTATACCACCCTTGACTCCTAAAGCTCCCAAAATCTTCTTTTTCTTATAAATAAGAGATTGGAAATTTTTACGAAAACTAAAAGATAGGATTTTAATTCTTCCATAGAATTCTCTTCTGAATAGCCCTAGGGTTTTTCATTTCTTTACTTGTACCTGGGGTTCAAGGTTTACTTCAAATATTTGCTCTGTATTTTGTTTGCATTTTCTTTCTATTTTTATCAGGACAGATTGAAATTATAAGGGTGTGCATAGAGAACACGTTTGTTTAGCTAAATTAGCTCTATAATCAGATGAGATCACCTAGAGGGTCAGAGGATGAGAGTGAAAGTTAGAAGAGCAGAGACTTGGAGCTGACTTACCTGAAGATTCAGTCCTCAGGTCTCTTTCTACCCTTCACTTTTCAAGCCATTTTTTTTTCCCTGAAGAGTCTCACCCTTTGCTACAACTTCAGCCATTCTGCTGATGACACCCAGATGACTCTAAATATGCTATTTTCCTAAGTCCTATTCTAGAATCTTCATGTTAGGACATTTTTAACTTAGATGTTTTGCTATTCAAGTTATATCAAATTTGTATCAAATTTAGCCTGTTTGCAACGTAAGCATCCTCCTTTCTTTCTTTTTTTTTTTTTTTTTTTTGAGATGGAGTTTCACTCTTGTTACCCAAAGCATCCTCCTTTCTGTAGTTAGTTCCACTCATGACTTTAATGTTTTTCTTTATGGTTGCGTTACTCTCCAAATCTTCCAAGTTCAAGCTTCATAACCCAAGATCATCTTCACCTTCTTTCTCACTCTGCATTCTGTTGGTCGGCTTCTGTTAAAATAGCCTTCCTAAGGCAAGCCTTCTGTCAACGATCAGTTATTTTTAGGAAGACTTATAAAAAGTCACTGAGATTTAAAAATGCCCATATACATATTTGCAATCATATTTGTGTGCTTGGTTAAATATGTTGACATTTAACAGATTTGAGCCTTCTAAATTTAATCTAGCATGAATGTCATTTTTACTAAAATATTCGCTATTTTACTCAGCTGGTTCCTTACACAAGTCCTGTTAAATTTCACACGTGAAAAAAATGACTGAAAACACCTAATGGAATGTGATACTCCTTGTGTAGTAGAAATGAGTTGAGTTTGATATTTGAGAGCTGATCCTATGAATGAATAGACAATAAGGTGAATATTTGTTACGATTTGAGTTTTCTAAATGGAAAATGTTTCATGTTTTAGAGAATGTAAACTTCCACAAGGGCAGAGATTGTTAATACTTTTTTTCCCCCAGTGACTTAAAACAGTACTGGCATGTAGTAAGCACTCAATAAATATTTGTTGAATGAGTGAATATAGGAACCATACTGGAATCAATATGGAAGCTACATAGAAAACATCACAATTTGGAGTTCAAATAGTGTGTTTAAGTTATTCTCTTGAAAACTATTTAACTTGTCTGTTACTGCCACTTCTTCCATGCCCAGTGGAACAGCCAGTTACTCAAGTCCAGAACACATGATTTAAAAAATAATTCTAGGGTAGGCTTGAGCTTTTGGCTTTTGGAAAGTTGTGCAAATAAAACTCTTTAAAATACTGTATTTTGACTCCTGGTTTTGACAAGAGTGTAGAGTTATTTCTCCTTGCTTCTTCCTGAAAAGTACAATTATAAACTCTGGGTAAGTATAATTATAAAATAATGCAAGAGGAATCAGAAGGAGAATTCTGAAAAGTGGGAAAAGAGGAAGACACACTGGCTAGGGACCCCAAGACTAGAGGAGCAACATGATTCCAAGACATCTGACCCCTCACCCGACTTTCAGACCTACAACCTAGCAACAGAAAGCAGCCCAGAGAGAGTTGTTCCTACAGAAGAGGGAAGTGAAGTCTAGTTGGTAATACCAGATGAGTCTGGCTCTACCAGCATGGGGCATATATATCAGAAACCCCTCTGACAAACATCCAGACCTGAGACTTGTGTGCTGAGAGATGAAGATCCAGGGGACTCTGGTAAAAAGCATCTGACCCATTATCTGAGCTGGAGACTCCCTTCTCCCAGAGGTGCCATGGGACCTGGCTTGGGGGAGAATCCTTCTTTTCCTAAAGAAGCATCATCAAGGACCATTCGGGAGCCCCAGGAGCACCAGATAAACCAAGCAGACCAAAATAATACTGCAAAGGCTCTAAAAACTAAATGACTGTTGGAGTCACAGCCCACAAAAAGCTAAGCCAGGGCTTGCATGCTAAACATAAATGGAGTGACTGCCTGCTAAAATAAAAGATTAAAATAGTAGAATATTCAGGATACAATGTAAAATAGCCTGTCATACCAAGAAGCAGAAAAATCCCAACTTGAATAAGAAATGACAGTCAAAAACAGATGACAGCACTGAGACAAACCAGATGTTGGAATTACCTGACGAGGATTTTAAGCAACTCTCGTAAAACTGCTTCAGTGAGTACTTACAAATTGTCTTGCAACAAAGAAATAGAAAATCTCAGCAAAGAAAAAGAAGTTAATAAAAGAACCATCATGATAAGTGCACTCTATGCCAGTTTTAAAAATAGAAATAAATGGCAGTTATTCAACTGAAAAATACAATAACAAAATAGAAAACATTCAGTGGTGACAGATAATTTGATTAGATCCTGGACATTTTGTCTGTTACATTAACTTTTTATTTTCAGAAAGTTAATTATGTGTCTTGGCATGAATTTCTTTCAACATGGCAGATATTTCAAAGTGAATGTAATATCCTGTTTTGGTGTTCATTTAGCTTCTAGAATCTGTACATTTATATTTTTTGCTAAATTTGAGATTAGCGGTAGAGAGGAACAGAAGATAGAAATCAGTGAACCTGAGGACAGATCAGTAGAATTTACCTAATCTGAATGACAGGGCGAAAATAGGCTGCCAAAAAAAATTAAGAGCCTTGAGGACATGTGGGACAATAACAAAAGAACCAACAGTTATATGTTTGGGATGCCACAAGTAGAGGGGAAAAAATGTACCCGAAAGAGTGTTCAAATAATGACTGAAAACATCCCAAATTTGGCAAAACCTGAAAAGCAGCTGGAGAAAAATGACACATTGCTGTGGGGCGAGAGACACAGTAGATGTCTCATCAGAAACCATGAGGACCAGAAGGAGGTGGCATCGTCCACTATGAATTCTGTATCTAGCCAAACTGCCCTTCAAGAGATCTCTCTCATACCTATATATGTATAGATACACATGACGGTTATTAGGGAGTGCAGGTAGTGACATGGAATTAGGCTTATGTGAAATAATCAGAGATCTAACATGTATCTCTCATGACTGTAACAAATTGTTCATCTGAAAATAGATTGAAATAAAATAATGATAGCAGTTACGATAGAGTAATAGCATTTTAATTTTTTAAATTGAATGTAATCTTTTTGTTGTTTTTCTTTTCATCAATGTGATAATAGTTTTATAATTAAAATTTTTTTTTTCAAAACACTCAATTTCAAGTCTTTTTTTTAAATTGCATTTTAGGTTTTGGGGTACATGTGAAGAACATGCAAGATTGTTGCATAGGTATACACCTGGCAGTGTGATTTGCTGTCTTCCTCCCCCTCACCTATATCTGGCATTTCTCCTCATGCCATCCCCCCCAACTCCCCACCCCCTGCTGTCCCTCCCCTATTTCCCCCAAACAGACCCCAGTATGTAGTGCTCCCCTCCCTGTGTCCATGTGTTCTCAGTGTTCAACACCTGCCTATGAGTGAGAACATGTGGTGTTTGATTTTCTGCTCCTGTGTCAGTTTGCTGAGAATGATGGCTTCCAGGTTCATCCACGTTCCTACAAAGGACATGAACTCATCCTTTTTGATGGCTGCGTAATATTCCATGGTGTATATATGCCACATTTTCCCTGTCCGGTCTATCATCGATGGGCATTTGGGTTGGTTCCAGGTCTTTGCTATTGTAAACTGTGCTGCAATGAACATTCGTGTGCATGTGTCCTTATAGTAGAACAATTTATAATCCTTTGGATATATACCCAGTAATGGGATTGCTGGGTCATATGGAATTTCTATTTCTAGGTACTTGAGGAATTGCTACACTGTCTTCCACAATGGAATTTCAAGTCTTGACTGTAGAGTCTGGTCATTGTAAGCTTATAAGTTGCTACCTCATTTGCGTTTTGATGCTATGTAATACAATCTCCTCCCCTGCTGACCTTTTTCCTCCAGAGCAGAGTATTTGTGTATTCCCAGTACCTTTCTCAGATGCTGACAGATAGTGGGTACCTAATAAATAATTGTCCAATTAACCGATTTAGATATGAGTATGCTGAGTATGATAATAGAATCGTAGATTCTTTCATGGCTTGGGGGATTGTTTGAATAATTCTGTCAGCCAAAAAGAAGAGAAGCATGTTAGATGTTGCTGGAAAACTAATGCCAGAATTGTGTATGACTCCTACCGTATCGTTGATATCTCTTCTAAACGTAGTCTAGGAATTGTTGACAAAGCTTGATTTAGCAGTACTTCTGTAACAAATATAGTCCAAGTCACTATAAAGAAAACATACAAAGGGACAAAGGTGTTTTTTTCTAGATCTTAGAATAATGGCACTGAAAAAGACAGAGTGAGGTCACCTCATTCTTTCTGCCATTGATGACACCTTAAATCTTCCCACAGATCTATGTGGCACTTCAATTAACAAATCCCCTGGGAATGATGCCTCTTTGTAAGGCATTAGCCTTGTTAAATCACTCCTCCCACCATAAATCACATCCGTAATGCAAAGCTTCCTCTCACAAGATAGAGATGCTTGTGTGCGCTGCTTCTACATCTATCTTCCCAATTAAAGGTACAAGAGGCAGAGTCTGAAGAGTGCCAAGTATCCCCAAACTTGTTTTTCTTTTCTTTCCCAGAAGAGAATGAACTTTTTTCTCCCCACCCCAGTGGTGACACCCTCACCTCACTTGCTCTCCTCCCCAATGGAACACAAAATATTGTCACAAAGATGCACTTTCCGCTTTTCCTAAGATCAGATCCAATGTAAGTTGTTTGCAGTTATTTACCACCTGTATTTCTTCAGTTATTCGTGCTGAAGTCTAAGTACAGTCAGACATTTTCCTTTGATGGTCATGTGAATGGTGTCTAAATATTTCACTTCATTGCCTTGCTTAGTGAATTTTAGGAGTCACCAAGTAGAAAATGCATTTTGTCCTTTTTAGGTTGATTTGGAACAGGATGCCAGGAGGGTTCACCTTTGGCAAACTCCGCTTCCCTGCTTCACACCTTCTTGGAAATCAAGCTTGGACTAATCCAGTGGGATTGCTGAAGTCCCCATTCCAGGAGCTGTTGGAGGTAGAGAAAGCTCTGTTAATTTTTTACCAGTGTTTGGATCCTTTAATCCTAGCAATTAGTATCTCCTCTGCTATGTGCTGATCCTTAACCACTCCCCATCTCACAATGATGGGAGACCCTTCAGTACCTATTTTATGTTTTCTGTAACATTTGCTTGAGTTACAATTAGGAAGTTGTATATGTGCACATATGTATATAATGTGCCATGAACATCCCCGTGCTCCTTATCCAAAGCCCTATTTCCCTATTGCATTTATCCCTCTGGATTTGAATTTTGTTATTTTATTCTCATTATTTATGAAGGGATTATATGACCTAAAAAAACAAAAAAACTTGAAAAATGTGGAAAAGTTCTCCAAACTCTCAACAATCTGCTTTCTCAGCGAAAGCTCTGCCAAACCTCAATAATTTTAAATGGTAATGATCAGGTCATAATTCTTTTTCATTCTACTCAAAGATAATTGTAATCATTGTAGTAATGAGCATGGAGAACAAATGTCTGCTTTCTGTTCCCTGAGCCAAGACCACGCTGCTTTCAAAAAGATCAGTTCATCACAATAGTGGACTTGGTAATTTCCTAGGTGCTAATGCACTTCCCATGAAATGAGCAAAAGAATAGTTTTAAATATACATCAGTTTCCATAATTATTTTATGTAATCATTTATGGAGAATGAATGAATCGGAGCAATGTTGTATTGCCCCGAAATTTTGCAGAAAATCACAAAACTGACAATGTAAATTTAAGCAATTCTGTGTCCCTGAAAAAGAGAATGAGTTAAGTGTCATAAACATTAAAAGATCATTATATTCACAAATGTTTTCATTAATTAGTAAAAGCCAGATTAATTATACAGTGTTCTGTTTTAAACTGATATGAAAATGAAAAGGGACTAAAAAAAGCCTGAAAGCCAGACTGAAGCTATAAAATGTAAAGGAGCTAGCATTAGGGGCATGAGAATCTCGCCAACTTGTCCATCCTCAACGCTTCTCTGTGTCTCACCCCTCTCCTCATTTTTATGACTTCCACATTGATCCAGCCCTCCAGATAAATCCTGCTGGCCTAGCAGAAATACCACATAAAGATTATTTCACTCAAGATAAAAGAATAGCCCCCTGTTAAAAAGATTAAATCAACATTCTCTAACTTGCCACTTAAGACCTTCTATCAATGTCCCTTCCTTTACCCAGCCACTTTCCTCCAAGGTCACCTGCTGGATAAGTGGAACCATCATTTTTTTTTTTCTTTTTTTCCAAGACAGAGTCTTGCTCTAGAGTCTTGCTGTGCCGCCCAGGCTGGAGTGCAGTGGTGGCACCACTGCAACCTCCACCTCCTGGGTTCAAGGGATTCTCCTGCGTCAGCCTCACCTCCTGAGTAGCTGGGACTTCAGGCATGTACCGCCATGCCTTTTTTGTATTTTTAGTGGAGACAGGGTTTCACCCTGTTGATCAGGCTGGTCTCAAAGCCCTGACCTCAAATGATCCGCCCAGCTCGGCCTCCCAAAGTGCTGGGATTATAGGCATGGCCACTGTGCCCGGCCAGTGGAACCACTTTCTATAGTGTGCCCATACTGAGCCTTGGACATCTTTCCTAGTTTGGTACCTGCTGTATACTTAACAGCATGTTACTGTGTTTTCTGTCCCATCTTGTCACACTTACCTTTGTAACGTTGTCTAACTCCAGCTCTCCAGATTTGTAAGTCAGAGAAAGTCAATAAACTTACTTCTTTTGAATTTCCCCCATGGTCAAGGACAAGTGTATCTGCACTAAATGCTTATTAAGGCTCTAAAACAATGGAATTTGGATAAAGCTGGTAGGAATAAAAAGTGAATCTTGGTATAAGAATAGCAGTGAAATATTCTAATGTGGCAATGAGATGCTCCTCAAGAATTTGGAGGAAAAAAATAGAAAATAAGGGGGTGTGTAAAGTCTGTACACTTAGTATAAAACCTTTAGCCACCTTTCCTAGTCCAGGTAGAAAACTGGAGAATTTTTTTCTGGACTAAGTGAATGTCCTCAGGGGAAAATGCCTTCAATGATGGGCATCCAGGGTTCCCCAATGAAATTGCCAGTTTGCCATTTGGTCACTCTATGACAAAGCCTACCAGTTATAAACACCACCACGTGCATGCACACACAGACTCTATCATGTGCTCTGTAATGTCTTTATTTTTTGAGATGGAGTCTCACTCTGTTGCCCAGGCTGGAGTGCAGTGGCATGATCTTGGCTCACTGCAACCTCTGCCTCCTGGGTTCAAGTGATTCTCCTGCCTCAGCCTCCCAAATACCTGGGACTACAGGCATGTGCCACCACACCCGGCTAATTTTTGTATTTTTAGTTGAGACAGGGTTTCACTGTGTTGGCCAGGATGTTCTCAATCTCTTCTTGACCTTGTGATCCGCCCTCCTCGGCCTCCCAAAGTGCTGGGATTACAGGTGTGAGCCACCCCACCAGCCCATGATGTCTTATTTTTAAATGTAAAGGAACATTTAAGGATCTGTAGGTATTTGAGGAAAGCCTCTAGTATGAAACAGAAAGCCCTAAACAAGCAAACAAATGGGAGAAAA